AGAATACAATCCAAATCAGTTAAGTAGTACTACTTTGGGAAATTCCCTAAAGGCACTGCATCAGGTCTAATTTCTTCAGCATTGTTATCCCAGAATTAGAAAGTAAAGCAATATCTATGAAGATAAAGGAATGTATATGACCCAAATTGCTTATAAATTTGGAAGAGTGACATAGTGACATGATCATCTGCCTCGTGTAACCTTCAGAAGCCAATGTGTGCAGGAACTGGTGATTTCCAGAGGAAAACCAGCAGTGCATTAGGGCTTAGAAAACCTGATCAGGCTTTCTGTAGCTTTGTTGTTTGGGTTTTTTTGTAGGGCTTCTAGTGGGTTTTTTGACACACTGCCATACTTGCACTCCAACTTCAGTCTGTTTTATGTAATGCAAACTTGCTATGATTCATGAATCTATTTGTGCCATGGAATCCTAGATAGGAGGGGGGAACACTAACCACAATACAAGTCGCATAAATCACAGTGATCAACTCAAATATCTGAACTCTCGGAAGATATATTGTAATGGAATACAGTCAAAGCTCACAAAATACTATTGCAGCTACCAAGTCAGTATCTGAAGACTGTTTTCAAAAATTACCAAAAAATTTTGGATTGAAAACATAATAAGCTTACATCAACTTGTAATAAATCAATGCCTCATCCTTGTTTAAACTCAGCAGTGAGAAAGAAAATGGTGGGATGGTCTTTTAAAAACTGTTCTGACTTCTTTTTTTCCCCTCATACTATCCCAAAGTTCTCCATCTGAAAAAAAAACAGGGATGTTTTGCAGCAATTTTCCTCTCTACCATCTCGATGCAGCTAGTGCTCTGAGCAGTCACTGACAGATAATGCTCGTGCCATTCTCGTCACCCTGCTGATGCCTATATACATGACTTAGGTGAGCCACTTGGGACAGAATTTCCTTGGGTATTGAGGCAATTATGACACCAAGAGGCTCTGTGGCATATTTTCAGAAATGCCAAGGTGTCCAGCTGCCATTCAGGATGATGTAAGTTATGGCACTTCTGGCACAGGCTCACTGATTGCCCCCTATGATGCCTAAATACCTTGGAACATCTGTCACAGATCTTTGTTTTCCCAATTTCCTTCACTTCTGCACTGGTGGCAATGATGCTTACAACGGCAAACCTCAGAGAATTAAGTGAAAATTGTTGCCAAAGTACTCTATTTAGTAACATGTTAAGCAGAAGTAGGTTTAAAAGATCAATGGCAAAATTAAGGAAACCATCTATCATTATCAAGCTGAATAAAATTTTGGAATAATGGGAAACAGACTTTAAGAGAATGATATCAAAACTTCTAGAATCAGAAAAAAAAAAGTGCTTTCCCTCAAAACATCCTCAGAACATCATCATTAGTATCCTTTATTCAAGACTACATTGTCACTGTCATATTTTCTGGAAAAATCCCTTGCCCAGGATTTCTCTCCTGGGAAACTGAGAAGCCTCAGAGAAAAAGGAAAACAATAATTATCTCATTTTCTTCTCCTGGGTTTTGCTCCTTTGGAATGTGATTTGGAGATTGTTTATCCAATATGTGAATTGTTTTTACTTATTGGCCAATCAGGGGCCAAGCTGTTTCAAACTCTGAAGAGAGAGTAATGAGTTTTTCAGTAGTATCTTTCAGCCTTCTGTCTGTATCCTTTCTGTATTATTTAGGAGAGTTTTCTATAGTTTTAGTATAGCATTCTTTAACATAATAATATAATAAAATAATAAATTAGCCTTCTAAGAACATGGAGTCAGATTCATAATTTCCTTCCTTCTTCGGGGTTCCAGAAAATACAAGAGTACATGTGTAAGGTATCAGCTGACAGCACCAAATTCTGGGCACAAAGCATAATGAAGGATGCTATTCCTGCTACTTGAGTTTGGACATGCAAGGACCAGAACTTTAAAGAACTAATGCTTTCCTTCATTGATGGCTTTCTTTTCTAGTGTCCAATGTGGACAGCTCCAAGTCTCCTCCCCCAGTCAGAGCTTCTCATGAAGGAGACTGATTTGAGGACAAAAAGAGATGCAGTAATTCTTTCAGGTCCCATTTCAGCGAGGCACTTAAGCACATGCTGATGTCGATCACTGCTGAGCAAAAGACAAAAGCACATGTTAGTTAATTTTTTGTAAGCATCCTACAGTATCCATGAGATGTCTGAACAAGCCCTGGTGCTTAGCAGAATCAGGGGATAAAGCTGATTAAGTAACTCCTGTGTTGTAAGTCCATTCAGCTCTGACCTAAGGACACCTGCTCTGGTGACTGCTTCTCCGCCCTGCACTCATGAACCCAAACAGGACTGAATTATACCATGGGACTAAGAGCACAGATTTGCCTTCAAGAGATGAAACGTGGGAAGTCAACAAGTCCTCTTTATATACAAGTCCTCCATTTATTTACTATAAAGGGCTTCTCTGCTACTGCCTATGCCACATCTCCATAACTTCATTGGCAATGAACTGGGATTACTCCAAGTTTCTACAGTCTACACTGGTGATATTTTTGCAGTTTTGCCTCGATGAGACTTAGTTTAGCTTTGCTTAAATAACACACCCAAATGGTGCACACTAAGGAATGTAAAGTAGATACTAGTTACCTGAATATTATTAATATGTATCTATGGTGAATTAATCTGGAGGTGATGTATTTAATTATTGCTAAGAAGTCACCCTTGGTGTTATTGCCTACATACCTACAGAGCTTTGCTGCTAACCTTTCAATATTTTTATGATCATTGTCTTTGGAGTGAGAGTAACATCACTCAATGACCTGATGTTTCATGGCTTGAGAATATTGCTAAATATATTTAGCAGTAGTAAATTATTGCTTTTAAAATTACTGCTCTGAGTTTTTAGAACATTAACAACCTAATTTTATTCACAAAAAAAATTTTGATAAAAATCTACCAAAAATATAACCAGGGAAAGACCCCCACTTCTCACAGCAATTGTAATACAGCTCAGACCTAACAAGTCTGATTTTATTTTATATCCTCTTCATTTTTATCTCCCCTCCTCCCCACCCTGGAGAGATTTTTTTTTTCTTCCCTTTCTTCCTTTTGAAAAAAACTGACTTGATACTAATTTTTTTTTTTTTCCTACCACAGAATGGCAGGTTTCTAAGCCACCCAATGGAACAGTCCTATTTTGGTAGAGTTTTGAAAACTAAAGAATTAGTGAATTTAAAATATCCACTAACATAGTCTAAACAGTTTCTCTCTCTGGCATTTGGAAAAGTATTAGAGTAGGATTTAGCTCATTTCAGTTTACATGGCACACTCTGGTAAAAGGACAGATGACTTGGATTTTAGTTAATTTCCAACTCAGATAATGATGACCTTGCAGTGGAAAATGCCAATTGCTGTTTTGGCTGGAAAAAATATTCAATGGTTCTGAAATTCCATGTGGAATTTTGTCATTCTCTACTAAAAACACTTGCTGTTACTTACCACGGGAAATCCTCTGCTTTATTACCTGGCAAATTTAATTTGGTATTCAGTCACTGTTGGGTTCTTCAGAACTTGTCCAAACTGCCCAAGACCCCTGGCTGCGACCCTTCCAGGCCAGCCCACGAGCTGATTGATAACTTTGGCTGTTAGGATGTAGGAAAACTAGACCCATGCACTGTGTGCTTCTTTTCTGTGTAACACAGATGCTAAAACTTCCTGGGGAGTCCACTTTTTTGTCATGAGGAAATGAAGAGCCAAAAGCACCCAGAGAATGCCTGTTCTCTGAGTAGCAGAAGTGCCTGCAAGGGAATGATGGAAAGGGAAGACAACCTCTGAGCTGCAAACACACACTGAGAGGGAGTGGGCTGCAAATATCCTTTCTCTAGCTAACCTAATAAAGATCTAGACATAAAATAAAATAAAAACAAGTTGGTGTATGTCCTTTTGATCATAGTCTGCTTATTCCCCAACCCTGTCATACCCTTTAATTTACAAACATACAAGTACTTCAAAATAGCGAGCCTATCTATGCCCTAAGATGATAACTCACTTAACATTGACAGAAAAAGTTGCTTACTGATACCTTTCTGGGCTTGGACATGCATAAAACCCCTTCATTCTTGTTCCCTGTAACTTGCAAAGATACATGTGCTTCCTTCTAACCCAGTCTTATCTTGGCATATCTGGTCTAAAAATCAGAACAACAAGTCTTAACATTCACAAACTAGCATTTTTTCTCTGAAGCTCTGTGGCTTCTTCTTTCAACAAAACTGGTTATTATTTCAAAATATATATACAACTCTCAGCAGAAATCTGGTGCTACATCTTCAAGTGTCTGAGGGAGCCACAGTTCTATGTGGTTATTTACACTTCCACAAGTCCTCATATGTAACCTCATCAAGGAGCAAACAGAATATGTACTGTAAAATCCCATGTGTATTTAAGCAGTTCCCCTGGAATGGGCCATTTATGATCGTGAAGTGCACACTAAGTGCCTGGGCAGATGTGCAGACACAGCTGCATGCACTGCCAGGATTCTGTTGGCACATGTGTGTATGTGTGTGAGGAACAATGCATGGAGATCCCTGCCTGCCTCACTGGGCAGACGGCAGAACGGACAGTGAGGGCAGACACACACTCGTATGGTGGAGCATGGCTACTGCACACCTTGTCATGCCAGTGTGAAAAAGACAGTTGCAGGTTGCTGGTTTTGCAGCCATTCATTTTACATCTTGTGGGGAGGGGGGCAAAAAAAGGATTTTTTCAGTTCCTTTTTTCCTTTTGCCCCCCAGTAAGCATCACTGGAAGAAGACCAAAGCAGAGCAACTATAAGTTAAATACACACTTGAGCTTAGCTGCATTACATAACTCTGTAGGAGAAGCAGGCTGAAAAGATAATTTTTTTTTGTTTGTTTTTTTGTTTGTTTCACTTAAATCTCTGTATTTTATTTCTCTTTCTTTTCATCTCTTAGCTCCCATCATTTTTTCCTCCTAGGTTCCATCATCCTCTGAAGAACGCTGGGTTTCGCAGGCAGGCGGCTAGTCACCTGCAACAACCGAGGGGTCCCGCAGAAGCTTCCAGGCTGCTGTCCGTGTCAGACGCCAGGGTTTGATCTGTGGACATGGATGAGATGTCGTTGACAGATGAGGATGGAGGGAGGCTCTCACTGCTGTTCACTGCTGCACCTGTGCTACGAAAACGAACACCAACGTGATTAAACCCGAAACCCCAGAAGGTGCCACATGTTAAAGAGCAGAGGGTGCTCACCTGGTGGTACGCAGACCATTTTATCTAGTGGCAAACTTCAGCAGGAAATGGGCCATACAAACTTTAGACATTGGATAATATTAAGTATCTTACTAGGAAATTCTGTCCCTCACCAGTCTGCTTTGAAAAGTTATAGCTCATACAGTGTTTGTCACCCCACTTCGTTCTAGCCCGTTTGGAGCTCCAAAACACCCAACAGTCAGGGGCAAGTCAGGATCATACAATGTGTGACCAAAACAAAATCAGACCCCACCTATTCCTCCATGTTGTTCTCATAAAATTCCAGTTTTCTTAGTGACAGTCAAATAAAGTGGGTGGGATCAAATCACCCAGTGGAAATGAAGAATGGTTTCTTTCCTTCATTAAGGATTAGGGGACTAAGCCCAGGATTTCAGCCGCGACTGTATTTTTGCACATCCAAGTTTACCTCACCTCTCCAAAATTAAGATGGTACCAGACAATATGCAAAAAATCACTTTGACTTTATGAAATGAAGAATGAACTTTCCTGAGATTATCATTAATGCAACTGAACATTCATAACATCCCTGAATATTGTCAGAAATTATCTGTCTGATAAATTCAGACAACTGAATGACAAATACAGAGCCATGTAAAGAATGTAATTATCATGCACCTATGACTGCTTAACTGTTACTGCTCATTAACCTCAGCTCAAACTAAGTTCACAGAGTAGCATAAACATGTTTAATTGCTGGGCTTTTTTCCACTGAACTTCCAGGTGATGTTTTTTTGCTCTCTTTATAGCAAAGTTAGCACTGTCTTCAGTTTGAGAGGGATATATCAATTTCCATTAAATATTCATGATAATAAAATGTGTCATTTTGTATGATCTTGCATAGCTAGAAATTACAGCCAAGCAGGTGACACAGGTCTTTGTTCTGAAGATAGATGCCATTTTGTTCTTCTTTCTGAAAAGTGTGCTCAGCCAACTTTTACAGATATTTATTTCCACCAAATGGCTAGAAATGAACATCTATTATCCAGTAAAACTACACAAATCCTATATTCCTAATACAGAGATTGAAAGTTATCTCCACAGCCTAGGCAAAGTATATGCAGCTATGAGCAAAAGGAAAGGATTTTTGTCACTTTCTAGCTTGCAATAAAAACATTAATTTGAGAAAACAAGCCACCATACCATACCTCCAACCACTATTCTATATTCCTCAACTTTTTCTTCCCTTTATACACATCCACTGTAAATATGCACAAAACAGAGACAGATATGCTCACATTTAGAGCTCCAGATGGGAACTGCTTTCTGCCATTCTAGTAGTTCATTATGGCATAAGAACCAATTAAATTAATTTACTCTCCTGATACATTTGGAAAATAAAATAGTTAATTTTCTAAGTGCTGCAAAAAGAGCAATCTTAATGAATCTGACTGGTGACTGCAGACAGCAATCATCCATCCTCTCTGTCAGAAAATGGGTTTTTCAAAGGGTTATTTTTGTGTACAGCATCATTCAGTACAATACTGTTACTTCATGTTTACATGTTATTTAATCATGTGGCATTTTATGAAAATACTAATCAGTCAAGACAGGTGCATTTATGGGTAGTCAAAATATGACTGAATTCATTAATATTAACAACTAAACAATATATTATCTTTCTATGTTTACCATGCTGGGCAGAAAACTGCCATTTATTCATGGATACTGTCCTAAGAACAAGATGGAAAGAATTCCAGTAGGTTCAATCAACTTTTGATCAAATTTTTGCTGCGCTACTTTTTTTTGATGAACATGCACTCAACTTAGCTAAGCAAAATAACTGAAGAAATAGCTGCAGAAATTGTTTGGTTGAAGATTTTGTTACACTCTGTCTGATTCAGCACCACTGAATTCAATAAACCCTGCTATGATCTTCTCAGCAAGTGTCAGTGCAGCCCATGAGCTTCTGGAAATTGCATTTTTATGGCTATTCCTAGCTTTCAGCACAATTCCACATGACACAACACAGATGTGACAGCTCCTGCTGCAGCCCCAAAGCGCCCAGATTCACAAAGTATCCACAAAAACAGATGAAACCACGCTAAACCTCAACGACAGAATTAAAGAGCTCAGCGGCACAAAGCAGGACTCGGGCAGTAACACTCAAATCTCAAACAAAGCTGTCCCAGTCAGGAAGGAATGCTCCATTTGCTATGCTACAGAAGTTTGCTCCTGGAGGGATGTGTGCCAGGTGAGACAGTGCAGATATGACAGACGTGCACTCAAAAGAGAAAAAGAGCCCCATTTATGAAGTTGCTGTTTGGAAGGAAGCTTCTCACTGGCTGCAGGATTGAGGAAAAGTGCTAAAGGTTAGAGCAGGTGAGAAACAGCTCCTGGGATCAGCTCCTGGCTCTGCTATTGCCTTGACAACTTCTCTTTTAGAGCACACATCAGCTTGTGTGCTGTAAAGGGATTCCTTTCTGACAGGGCTCCTGGGAAGTGCTATTAAATAGCACCAATGGAGGTGCCTCTGAGACTTCAACCATGAAGTGATACAGATTTGGGGGTAAAAAAACTGAAAGGAGAACTGCAGCTTTTGCAGTTTCCAAAAAAGCCCAGTGTCTGTATGGGGGATCTGTTCAGTGTCTCATAAATTGTGTAAGTAGCAGCTCCTGGTATCGAGTGTCTGTCTCAGTGGTTGGCAAGTCCATCAGCTGCTTGATTTAGAGTCTGCACATGACAGAAGAGGTATCCTACTGGTAAAGTGTCCAGTAGTTCCTGGGTGATGGCAATTCAGACAGCACGTAAAAGGCAGGAAACAAAGAATAAAAGATCCATTTTCACCTAGAAAGGGAATGCTAAAAATAAGCTGCACTATGATCTCTGCTATTTACTATACTCTGTACCCAGAAAGGACAAGAGAGTTGAAAATGTTATGTGTGAAACTACAGCTGGGTAGTGTAGGCTAGGGAAGAATGTGAGAGGAGGTTAGATGGTATGGACAGAACTTAAGTTTAATTCTAAATAATCTACAGCTTTGTATTAAACTTTTTTTCCCCCCAAATGCTGCTGTTTGATAACAACAGTAACACTTTTTTTGGACAGGCAGAAGTAGCTTCTGCTGGGAACAATTTTTGACACTGTTGATTTTGTTCACTGAATATAAGCATGAAGGGCAGCTACTTGAGTTTCCAAGCTGATATGTTGTACTAACTAATCCTTCACAGAAAAGAGATTGACATCCTGATACACAGGCACTCTAAGTGGCTCTACCAATGAGCAATTCTTATCCCTGGTGCTGTCAGCTGCAGCAGTCTCCCCCAAAACTCTTATCAAGTAATCATGGAAACTAAGCTCCAGCTTGCTTGCCATGATTATTGATAGAGCATTAAATCTCAGCTTTCTGAATTCTTGCCAAGAACACCAACCAATGAGTAGAGTCTCTCTCATTTTCCTTATGCTCAAAACTGGTGGTTTACCTCTTTCTTCCATTATTTTATTCAGCTGAAAATTTAAGTCAGGCACACAAAGTGAAGAAAAACAGGAAATCTACTGTTTTATGAAACAGCCTCATCTGAGAGCAGTTTTAAATATTTTCTGAACTTTTTGGTGCCTAACATTCAAAAAACAGTCAAAGGAAATCAGCAGAATAAATGCTAGGTAAAAAATTGACAATTTTGTATGTCTGAAAATGTTTTACATAAACAATAAAAACCTTCCACACAGCAAAACCAGAATATAAAATTGATAAAGAAATTCCTGGGTAGTTAATTCCTGAAACAAGCAACTTCAATGTTTCTTGATCACAAATCAACCTGCAGCCATAATTCTGCAAGGGAGAAAAATTTAAGGATGAGGATTTATCAGATAATTTTTAGAGCCCCAGATTTCTTTTCAGTGGTGGCACCATAGTTAGGTAAATTAAATCTGCAAGTTCTGTTCTTTGCTACTTGGCAAGAACACAGTGGACTGTTTCCAGTGTATTACTTCATCCATGCCAAAATCCAGGTGCAGGGCTTGTGCTCCAGCATCACCACCCAGCACTTTATTAACTCCCTCCATTATTGCCATGTTTCCTCTTGTTCTGTCAATTACTAGTGATGTATTCTTGTTCTAACATTACCTTGGCTCAGCAGCAAGTGAAAAATAAGAGTGCAAAAAAACCTCTCTGAAAATATGCAGAGAACACTGAGTTAAACGGTTATACTTTGAGGAAAGGCAGTTTTATTCATAAATACTTCTGGAACACTCCGCTCAAAATCTGGGCACTTCAAGTTTGCCAGTGAAACTGTACCTTCACAAATATGTATTTCTGTGTACTGGCAGTAACAGTTTGCATTTCTGTGAAAAGACTGCTGATGTGAATTTTACTCAGAAAAAAATGTAGTTGTGATTTTTTTGTGACAGGACTTTAAGAGCCCGTGGTTGAAGACAAATTTCCCTTCTCACTGAAGTGTCATCAAGTGTTGTCAGCCAGCTGTTCTAATGTGATTGGACTTTAGAGAGGATAGACTACCAGATTGGTACCAGACACCTACATGGGGCTGGGGTGGGGGTCAGGTGTGCAGTGTTGTGTGTCCAAGAGATTAATGTGTGCTAACATCACCAATTTTGCTTGTCTCAACTAGCAAAGTATTGGTTAAGTTATCCACCCATAAGCAGTATGAAAATACTAGTGTGAGAGAAACCTCCACACTCAGAGGAATACAGTCTGTAACCACAGACAATACCAGCACAACTATCTCTCAAATAGCAAGAAGACAATTTTTAAATATGCTATTAACATGACACTGGAGTACAATTAATAAAGGTCAACCCATTAGAAGCACTGGATCTCATAAAAACGTCTTAATTGGCTTGCATAACTGCAAGTGTAGCCTAAGCCCTTCAGCAATCTCCATTCTCTCTTTGCCAGTACAGAACAGACACCAAGGTTATTCAATGGGGCTGAGTACCTGAAGGAGAAGGCTGTCCTTTTACTACGCCATTTTTAGTCTTTTCTTCAGAATTCATTACTTCTTTGTAGATGAGCTCTGGAAAAGAGAATTTTGACAGTTACTGACAGAGGCCAGTGCCTGTGATCAGGAACAAAACAACTACCACAACCTGCTCTAGCCCTGAGCTTCCCAAGTCTGTCTTGCCTTGTCTTCCCAAGTCTCCCAGCTCTACTCACCTAAGACCTCTCTCTTCCATTCTCCTCCTCTCCTCTCCGAGCTGAATGGATTTCAACCAGAGCAGGAGAATTGCTTAATGCTGCACTAGCTAGAAGAGAGGCAGCACAATATCACAGCACCTTTTACTGTGGCTAAAATCCTGATGCATTGCCCTGCGGACCAGTATTTTGCTCTCCAGGCATACCCTTGGGTTTCAGTGAAGAACTGGAATCCACACCTCCTGTGTTAACTTTAACTTACGTAGATAATGATAGCCCTCAGAACATTTTCCATATTTTTGCTATGTTTTTGCCATTTTTCCAAAAACTCCTTCCCATGTAATTCTAAACTGCAATTACCTTTCCATTCCTCGATTGTATGTTCCCTTTCATCCAGCTGTTTATCATATATCTGAGGAGGAGGCTGCAGGAAAGAAACACAGCTGTTTAGTCAATTGTCTATTATACTGTAAATAATCAGGACTAATTACTTAATTAAAGATAATTTCACCTCTCTCTTTGCAATCCATCCTGTACATGCAAAACCATCTGAAACACATTTGAATATTAAGGGGATTAACACTTCTGGAAGACAAATCTTTTTGTAGAAGAAATCAACATACTTCTCTGTTTTCCTTTCTTAAAAAGGAGGCATAGCTGCAGTTGAAATAAAACCCAGGTCAACAATGTCATTGTGCTTGTACTGAGCTCAGAAACTCCACACCCAAATTATTTGTAGCAGCGGAGAGGAACTGTCAGAATACCAAACAAATACCAGTCTTGATTAATTAGTAGTCACATTAACATATTAATTTTTAAGTTGCTCTTGACATTTGCTTCTATACAGACTTCCCAAGACTTTTAACTAAGTCTCCCTGCAACAGCTCCTAATCTAGATTTCAAATTACCAAAATTTCCAATATATGTATTTTTAACTAACTTTACTTTGAACAGAAAGGGTTTTTTTTTATTGTGTTTATTTTAGTTGATGAGAATGTCAGAGAAATGGCAGATCCTGGCATTCACTGAGACAAAGGCACCTAGAGTTTCAGGAAGCCTGAACAGCTGCTTTCATTGGGCAACTAAGCCATATGTTCATTGCATCTCCTGATGGTGGCTGCCAAATGCAGCAGCCAAGGAAGGCAGAAGACTCTCCCATCTTTCCTTCTACCAAGAAGCTCCAGCATCTGAGGTAAGAGTACCTAATGAACATGGAAACAAGATCCACAACACTTTTCTTGCTCAGATGTATTTCCTCTGACTTCCATCTTGGGCAATTGCCATTGTGTTCCCTTCAAAACATCCTCCTATTAAATGCATGTTTACCAAACTGTTTTCTTGAATCACTAAGAATTTAGAAATTTTCTCTCAGGACTCTAACTCCATCAGTCCTTTAAGCCATTTGCACGCTACAAATACAACTGAAAAATAATAGCTCAGTGACATGATATGGACCAGGAAAATTACATGACAGCTGAACTGGACAAGACCACTGAAAAAAAGGGAAGTTTCCCCAGTGTGTCATTTATGTCAGGGCTGGAAATAAGGGGATTAGATGAAGTTATAGATTGTAAATCTCATACCTGAGAAGTGCTGAGGAAACACATCATGAATTAAAGTGAGTGCCAGGCCTAGCATGGGTACCTGAGGTTTTGTTATATCAGCAAGGTAAGACACAGCCCTGTAAGAGTCTGAGTCCCAGGCCAGTGCAGCTGTTCTCTTATTCAGCACCACCACCCTTCTCATTCATTTCCACTGAGTCCTGATGCCACCAAGATTGGCACAACCTCCGTGGGGATTCTGTGCTCCTGCTGACGGTGCTGTCAGAGTGGATGCTACAAGAGTACAGGTGATCCTACCACTGACCAGTAGGGTGTGATAGGTAAGCTCCACTCCTCCAGCTGAGCTTGCTGGGCTCCTGCTCAGCCCCTCAGCCAGCCCTGGAGCATGCATTTCTTACTGGGAAAAGCAGAGAAAGCCAGCCAAGCCAAGAGAATTGAGGGGGTAGGGATTTACAGGAGCAGCAGGGGAGGTGTTTGGCTGGGCTGAACCACAGTGACTGAGCCACCTCTTCTCTCCCAGGTGCAAAGGGAACAGGCAAACCAAGTTGCACAAGAATGTCCTGAAAGTAGCTTTCTAAAAGCTTCAGGAAGAAGCCTACAAAAAGCATAGGTGGGGGTGAAATTGCTTCTACCAAGTATAAACACTCTTTCCATAGAAAAACTTGTATTTCTCCCCCAGACGGAAATAAGAGGATACATTCCCTCACTACTTTTATTCCCAAACACAAATTGCAGAATCAAAAGGAACAAGTCATCAGATGCACCTGCTCTCAATTCACACAACCACAGAATCTTCGGCTTATTTCTCTTCTAATTTATTTCAGCTACATCTTAAGCTGGGGTAATTGGCTAATAAGCAACAAGAAAATCAGCAGTAATCATTGCCTAGATTAACACACTCTGGAAACAAAGGCATTTTCCAGGGAGAGAGCCCAGAATAACCTCACTCATTACCAAGCTCCTATTTTTTTACGGAGTTAAACAAGGGAGAGCAACCAAACTGTCCTTCACACCCCGCAGGATGCCAGAAGCTGCACCTGCACAGCATTCTACTGCTCTGCCAGTGCTGACATTGCAGACTTTTTACTTGTGAGTTAGCAGAGCCCACAGCTATGAGACACGGCTCTCGGCAGGCATGAGGAAGCCAAGGGTAACAAATATTCAGCAAGGCAGTAGCATGAATAAATCCCTGCTCTTCACAGAGGCAGGGTCTGTAACCACTCTAAAGCCTGTGCAGAGCATAGTCAAATGGAGCTCTGCTGAGAGCCCAGGCCAGCGCTTCACACTGGGAGAAGTGAAGCTTTCCCATCAAAATTCCCTGAGTCCTCACCTTTTCATTGATTCAAGGCACAGAAATGAGCTGAGAATACAAAACTATTTTGAGAATTTATTTTCCCACAATTCTCATTAATTCATAGGAGAATCACAAAGCTTATCACACTGTTATCAATATATTGTAATCCCCTCCATGCTGACCACCCCTTTTCTGCTAACTCATTTGTTTTGTGGCTTTTTTAAAAACCAATTTCTAAAATTAGAGGGAGGATGGGAGTTTTTTAAAGATAATAAAAAAGTATTGTCTCAGCAATGGAACAATCAGAGCAGCTGCCATACCCACGTCCTCCTGAGCACCTGATTTTAGTTTTGGTGCAAAGCTTTGCCTAAAACTGACTTTGCTACCTAAATCAAACATCTTAGAAAATTACTGAGTTCATAAACGTTAGCTTTCCATGTGGATGCAGCTGCAGTGTTATAGGCATTCTTATAAACCCTTCATACTGCACATGCCAACTGAGGGTTGCATAGTTTACTTTTTTCAGGCGTTTAAAAAAGGACTGGATGTGGCACTCAGTGCCATGGTTTAGTTGATAAAGTAGTGTCACAGGTTGGACTTGATGATCTCCAAGATCTTTTCCAACCTAGTTGATTCTGCGATTCTGTAAGTCTCAACAAAAGTACTGAGTTCAAGTAGCATCAAATCAAGGCAGGGTGTGGATCAATCCTATGGGTGGCAGCATCTAGCTTCAGTTTAAGGCAGCCATTTTCTCCCCAAAACAGATTGATTTGCAAGCAGTTGCATTGTCAACAATAACAAAGAATAGAATCTATTTTTGGATGCAGAAGCAAAGAATGAATTATATTTTTCTTGTAGGTACTAAAATACCCCCCTGTTGTTTCAATGGGTCTTGGCTTTTCCATTTTACAAGTTGATTTTCAAAATATTTTCCAATAAATGTAACATTCATCGGACATAATAAAAATTTCAAGAAAAACCCCAACAGAAAATATCCACATGGGTCTCTTTCTGAAAAAAAAATTGGAAAATAAAAAAGGAAACCAAACAAACAAATAAGCAAAACCAATCAAAAAACAAACCAAAAAGCAAAATACACAAAAGACAAGGGGGGTTTATGTTGTCAGATAAACAGCAGGAGACTACTGGATTTGCTAAATACAATTCTAATATTCAGAGAGGGGAGGCTTTCAGGCTTTTCACTAGAGAAAAAAAACCAAAACATACGTTGAAACCTATGTATTCCTGCTTTCCCAAAGCAACACAGATTGGTTTGTATGCCACTGCTAGAATGGAAAGGGAATGGTCTGGAGCTCACACTCGAGCAAATCCTGCCATCTCTGTCCCTGCCTCTGCAGAGCTATGCCAGCACAGTGGAGACCTTGGGATGAGCTGTTTTTAGAAAGCTTGGCAGAGCAAGCCCTGAGTCTGCATCTCTTCCCAGAATGGCAGGGTTGGGGGCAGAAGTTGTGGAGCAGCACAATGAGGCAGTGATGGAATTAGCAAGATAATGCAGATAAAAGAGGGACTGGAGGATGCAAAAATTAATGGTGTGAGCTTAAACCTTTTGTTAAATAGCTTACATCCTCATAACAAGTGAATACAAAAATTCCTTGGTGCTTTGCAACCACCTAAAATTGTGTTACTGGTATCATTCATGCATTTATTTTTGCAGTGCAAGCCCAAGTACAACAGCGTGCTTGTCACCAGAGGTCTGGCATCTCTTTATCTACAAAGTGCTTGGGGTTTCATCCTGTATTGCCAAGGGATTCCCCAGTGGGCTAGGGATGATCTCAGCTATGGATATAGAAGAAGAGATGACTCTGGGTCCATTTGTTCCTTGGAGTTTCTGCAGAGGCTTTTGGAAAACTCCACACATTATGTGCATCAACAAAATTGTAGACTGAGTTATTACTGAACAGCTGGACCATAAGGATGCCATGCAACAGGAGTCAAGATTGCTGGGCTACACACAGATAACTGAACAGCTTGAAGATACAACAAGCAAGCTGGAAAAAGATTAAGTTTGGTTCAAAAAAAGAAAAAGAAGAAAAGAAATGCCTCTTTCTTCTCTAACCACTCCTCCTCACTGACATTAACAAAGATTTTTGTAGAAGCCGTGTTCAGCTTCCGTAATCAATCAGCTATGAATGGATAGATGTTGTTGACTAGAGGAAGTATCTGTGCTTGTGCACAAAGCAGAGCTGCACACTTCTTTTGTGAGACAACAGATGCACACCATCAATCTCTGAGCAGAAAACCAAGCCCTGTAACTGAGTGCTAAAAAATGTGGCAGCTCATTGAAGACTTTCTATACAACATCTATACATGCAGAGCTGAGCAAGAGAAAAGAACAGCAGAAATGATGCACAACCTGACAGCCTTGCTTATGCCATCTAATGAAGGTGACACCTTCTTTGAAGTGTGTTTGCCAAGGTCACAGAGCTCTCCAAAGTGTTTCTCCATCATAATGGATGTTTAGCAGTCACAGGTAAAATAAGAGGTGGGTGATTTTTTTTTTTAATTTTTTTTTTTAATTCTGACAAACTAGTTTTAAAAATTGCGTTTAACAGCTGGTCATAGATAGTTTATGTAGGGCTAAGACACAACAGCAGCAGTTTCTGTCCTGGACCTCAAACTGAGAACCATAAACCAAGTTTTTTCATTAGCAACACTGGAAACAGCATCACATTAATAGAAGATAACACACAGATTGGCATGCACAGAAAAATGAATGATAATTCACAGCCCAGCCTCCTGTGGATAGTCCTAGATGCAGAAATACTCCAGTGAAACATAAATCCTATGGAAATCAAACCAGGAATGAAAGCTGTATGAGTTACAGTGAATAAAACCCCACAAAATCTATCAATGCTGTAAAATACTGTCAAACATAGAGGAATGCTTGAAAGGAATATTTTTAACACCTGATCTTTCTGTTTCATAGAAATCTGTCTTCTAATGGATGGCACATATCAGATAACAAACAATAGCTGCAGGTACAGGAAAGTTCAAGACAAATTTTGAAACCAGTTTACAGAAACATCACATAATAATCTATAGCAAATTTTGCTACTGGATTTGTTCCCATGGAATGGAATGAGTTTTCCCAAGTAGGAATCAATATGACATCACACATACATTCAAAAGGTTCCAAAATGGAATCCAATATGACATGAATGGTTTCTTTGAATATACCAATAGCAAAAGGAAAAACTTTACTGTGCTAAAGCAATGTGTATGAATCAATTTTGTTCACAATTCGATCATTTGGGGATAAAACCCAGTGACCTGCAAAGAGGCATAAACATTAGAGCAGATATAAAAAGTTAAATACTAGATTTGAGATTTATTCACAAATCATCTCAATGAAGGGTGAGAATGTATAGCAGCTTAAAAAAAAAAAAAGAGGCAGCTGGGTAATTGTAAACAGTCTCAAGCACAGCATTTTCAGACAGGAAAATAGAGAAACTAATATGTCATCAGGGAGATACTGAGATTATCTACAATAAACAGGATAGTCTGCATGTAGAGGCAAGACATATTGGAAACCTCTTCTTTTCAGAAAATAGAACCAGAGCAATTGGAGGGAGAATAGGTATCGTGTGTGTCATTTATTCATACAATAGTCCAAATGCTGCTATATAGCTAAATATCCTAACATCAAAGTAATAAACATAATATTTGTTTAAAAATGGATCTGAGACAGTTTCTGAAAAAAAAAAAAAAGACTTCCAAGAGAGTCTTGAACTAAAGAATAAAACAGAGAAGTAAGTTCTACAAGTTCCTATTCTGATTTTATGGTAGATTTCCTGCAGAGTATTAGTAAATAATACTTTTGCCCTGTGAACTCTTGTTTCCCTACATTTAAATTAGGTGTGGAGATTGGTAACAGATTTCAACATCTGGGAATTCCACACAACCCAAGCCATACATGTTCTCCTGTTCATGTTTTGCATATTCTCCTATTTTTTGAAAACACATATTTTAGTTGTCATTGGCTGAATACAGAAATTATCTTAACTGTAATACTATTCAAAATAATTTCAGAACAATGGTGTATGGTCTGGACAACCTAACACTGTGACTTTTTAATCAGAGATACTGTGGCAAGCTGCATGTACTTAAAAGAACCTGGCAAGCTACCTATGTTAGACATAAGAATTCCCTGTAAATCCAAATGCACAGGTAAGCTCCAAAGCTGTGCAAGGTCTTTTTCTAGCTGTGAGTGTGATGCTGTTTCAGAGCTGTTGAGGGCTTTGGCTGTGGTTTGTTTCATGCAGAAGTTCTGTAGGAGAGCCACAGCAGTGTTTGAGTAACCTCCTGTGGCTGGTGAATAGCAAGTCCCACATCTAATAACAGCTCATCTTCCTCTCTGGGTCAGAGAATCACACCTGGCATTTGGGGCCACCCAGAAGAGTTTAATGCTGTGACACATTGTGGGAGAAAGGGTATTGCATTCCCAGCACTTCCCATTTGTGCAAAGTGTTTGCCCATTAGAATGAGACATAATAGTTTTATTGGCCCCACACAGTCTCTGAAAGACCATAAACATATAATAGACTTATAAAAAGGGACTGCAACTGTCTCACCAGTCTGCTTTTTAACTGGGTAGGGCTGTTTTACTGTTTCCGTCACACTGATAATGCTGTAAATCTGAGCAGACACAGAGGGTTGTTACCTCCAGGTTAAACTTTGACACCAAATTCTCTGCTTATTCCCTGAGCTGGCTTCAGTGCTTTGCATTGTCTGCTCCAGCACATGCTGACATTTAACGATGCTGCAACAGCTCACTTCAAAATTCCTGTCACATTAAATGCTTTCAGTTACCTGTCCTCTCATGCTCCTGAATGAAATGGGCACTGTACAACAGATGCCTGGCTGCTTTTGATGAATTAATTTACTCGGGAGAAGGAGGACTCTAACTAGACAGCAGAAGTTACCTAATTCCCCACTCCCCAGTACTATATTGGCTGAAAATGTCATCTTGTTTAATACCTCTGTATCCTGATTTCTGTTATCCCTACTGTACAGGATTACTGATAGTGGGAGGAATCCTGTCTCATATCACAATATGGGAAGAGAACTTAAAAAAATCCCCAAACATCTCTTTAGCTACACGATGAATGACTTCTGCATAAAATTGCTTATCAAGTATTACCAAAGAAAAAGAGTGCAGTGAACATGGGCAGACGCAACACTCTGCAGGCTTCTAAATCCCAGTGTGGAAACCAGGAAAAATAGTGGGAAGTTAAGCATTATGCAAGTGACCAAGCTCAACTCTGTCACTAATTTTCCCATTGTTTTCTTGGCAGGTTTCCTGGCTGCACATTTGCAAGTCACTCTGTGAAAAAGCAGGGTTGCCTCATGGAGTCTCACCATGCCGCAAATTCAACATTAACGAGCCACATGGCCATTTTTAGGCTTTGAAATGTCATTCAAATGCTACTTTCTTTGTTCAGTTGTACCCTTCTGTGGTTATAACTTCTGTGGTGTTGTTCAGTGTAGTCAAATTTACAGAGTCAGATTATTAAGTGAATAAGCAAAAGTATCTACTTCTCAAACAGCTAATTTGTTGGATGTTTTTAGATGTCTTCTAAATTCCAAGCCTGCTATAAATTTGGCAAGATCTAACAAAAATACATGAGATGAGTCATTTCCCCATTGCCCATGGCATTAGGAAATATTTGCTGAATTTTATCCTAACTCTTCTGCAACTAAGGGCAGATATCTCAGTGGAGTACTTGCTCGAGAACACCCTTCTGAGCGAGAACAGAAAACCTCCAATATCTCACAAATATTCTTTTTTTTTCCTCCAGAAAATAATTAGTAAATGACTTATAGCTAACCACTGAAGGTGTGTCAGCATGAACAGATGGATATTTATAATTTAATAAACAGTTCATTATGAAAAGAAAGTCTTCCAGTTTAACTTCCTCTCTGAAAATGAGAGTGGCAAAATGAAGCCCTATAAAGTACTCCTAAATAACATCCTCTGAAAAAATCTCATGTGCTGGAAATTTGATGGGGGTTTTAATATTCAATTTATTTTTGAAGTTTACTGCACTTTCAAGAACACAGACTGAATTGGAGCATATCACTAAACAGCAGTGATTTAATTTTACAAGGTCTTCATTTCCTGTGGTGGCAAAATCAGATTTCTGAACCTGTTTTCATAGAGAGTATTACAGAGCACCTCTCTGAATTTATACCTATATTCATTATACCTATGACACTGAAGTGCTGACAGATAGCAGTTATCCCTGTTAACAGCAGCCTCACCAAGGCTTACAGAGAGGTGTCTAGAGCATGACAGGATTATAAGAAAAAATCCATTTCTGTTTGCACACAATGTACATGATACTGTACATTGAGCCATAGCCCAGAAAACACCTGAGCCCCTCCTTCATTTTATCTAAAAATTTATGTCCTGCTAAGATTTTTCTGAATTCTGACTTCAGGATTTTTTTTTTTCAGAATCCTAAACTATTTTTTTGCTTAACTCTCCTCCTCTCTACATATATCCTTGAACACAGACATAAAAAGTGATGTTTGTTGTCTTCCACAGAGGAAGGTTTGGAAAGAAAGATAGTATCTTTTGTCAGATTGAGTTCTATAGCTAAAAAGGTGAGCTAGTGGATTCAAAATCCTTTCTAGAAGAAAGCAGAAAATGGCTTCATATGCTTGAAGTGTTTTTGTTCCTCCCATCTATTATCTTTTAATGTAATAAAAAGAGATATCCTGTCCCTACAGCTCTCATTTCACATCAATCCCCAGACCACCACAGTCCCAGCATTGTTTCTTTCCAGCATGCTCATTATCGTGCTGCTGTAAAGCAGCAGGAATCCCTGAATCCCATTTGTGCTTGGCATTCTGAAGCGGGGAGCGCTGCCTCACTTACCGCCTCCACCTCTGCTGGGTCATACCAGACATTAATGTACGGATGCTGTAAGGCTTCATCTACTGATATCCTCTTGGCAGGATCAATGACCAGCATCTTTGATAAGAGGTCCCTGGCTTGGCTGGCTGGAACAAGGGAAGCAAAGAAACACAGCATTAGTACAAAACAGCCTCCAGAAGAGGCTTGGTAGGGGTAGGAAAAGAGCAGTGGCACAACCCTTTGAGAGATTGGTTGTGCGTGCACTTCTGCTCCCTTGCCTCCTCATAGCAAGAGCTCTTTAGTAATCATTTCAGGCCTGATTCGTTAGAAAGGTGCCAAACTCAGGGCTGACACCATAAGCTCCCTAACAAGATTTAGTGACATTTTACATATGTGCAGATTCCACAAAGAGGGATGAATAATATCCCTAGGAAAAACATGCTTGATGTATCTGTGATTATTACCAGGATCAGAATACAAAAGTTCACATAAAGACATCTAAAATCATGACATTACTAAATCAAAGCCTGAAACTTACAGGCACTCTCAGACTGGCTCAGAAAAACATCCCCACTTCTCTGGATGTTTTAAAGTTTCTCTCCTAACCTGCTGTGAGGCATTAAACGTTTTAATGAGGCATAGAGATTAGGCTAATCTTAAGGCATCCCCCTAGAAGCAATAATTTCAAATCTGTAGCCTCGGGGTATGGAAGTGTTTGGAACTGCTTGAGTCTTGTTTGTCCAGTATAATGAAATTTAAATCAGTGGGGCACATCATCCTGCACTACAAATATATATATATATATATATATATATATATATATATATATACACATTGAATTTTACATTGCAGCATTGATTTATTTTACCTGATAATTCATTCCATTGTGCCTATCAGGCAAACAATGCCACAACAAAGCCACAAACTCAGGTTTATGTTACCCAAATGGATTTTTCCTAGTTGGAGTTTGTAAAAAATATAATACCATCTTAACCAACACGAAAAAATTATAACAACATGTATTTCTGTTATTATTATTATTAACAACTATGTAGTGTTCTAAGCTCTTGGGTGCTCAAAATTATTTGCTGTGTAAGTGAAAAAGACAACGAAAGGAAAAAAGTTGCAAAGATATTATTAGGTATCTCATCATACATGGATGAGTATCTAATTAAACCATTAATATTACATTATATTTAGGCAGGGCATGGGATGCACAAGTAGGAGATCCTGAATGCACTGTTTCTTGTTTCATGGCTATATTTTCAAAACTGGCATTCAGGATGCTCAAATGTATGTGCTTTCTGTACGCAAAAGATAACAGCACTGTTTGACAGTCATTTTTATTCATTAGCTGTGAATGCAGGAAAATTCCATTATTCAATTGTGTTGTGGTAGGAGTATAAAATTCTGTGTATCCAAAAGCATCTGCCCAGACCTTTCCCTTTATTTCCAGAGCCAGGACAGCAGCTTGGCTATGAAGCAGTTGTTAACTGTAAGAAAATTCAGGGCTGTGTAATGACATGCAAATTGCAAGCAACTGAAAACCATTAAATGCCAGTGTGGTGAGTGGCTCCAAGGACTGGAGTGGTGCAGAGCCAGCACACAGCTCAGGTCTGCAGGGGTTCCAGGGCTGCATACTAAACACACAATAATCAGTCTTTCCCACTGAAGGTCAATGCCCCATTCAAGTGAAAAAACCACTTCAATATATGATTAAAATCATGGCAATTTTTCTTCTACAAGGGGATATCTAATCACATTGTAAGTAAATTAATTTTCTACTTCACCTATCTTAAGTGACCCACAGGATTTTTCACAAGAAGAAATCCACCCCAGTGGATACTAAACCTTGGCTGCTTCATTTTGGCTGATGTTGATAACATATTTGTATTTTCTAGTAAAGGTAGAGCTATGAGGCAGGCATTTGGCTGAACTGGTATTTTTCAACTAAAAATACCCAGTGCAAGTACTGAGATCTCCCAATGGAAGTTCTATTGTTCTGTTTTGTTAAAAGTTCAAGAATAAGAGTAAGGGAACACCTCAATTCCTTGAGGCACAGGATCATCACATGGAACACCATGAGAATATTCTCAGTGCACCAGGATCTCCAAAAACCAGTTCCAAAGCCTGCCTCTCAGCTGAGCAAAACCCATGCAGTCACTAGACTGCAACTAAGTGCATTAAATGGAGTGCAACTAGAGAGAAGAAACATTGGAAAAATTCCACTGCAGATGTTGCATGTGAATCACATCAGACATACCTTTGAGTTTGTTGTGTTCTGAGTCCGCTGGGAAGAGAGAGTCTGGAAAAAGTTTGGGGAAAGTGAGGCCAGCATACTTGGGTCTGTTCTCAACGTAGTTCCGTACTGTTGGCTGCAGCTTCTTCATGAATTCTGGACAGGGTGTTCCCAGCTGCTCAATAACTTTATTCCACTGATCAATATCTGAACACCAATAGTTAAGGGAAACAAAATGCAAACTCCCATGTAGCCTCCTGACATTTCTGATTGTGTTCTCTGAGAATCCTCAGAGATATTTAACTCCCTTCATAACATCTTTACAGTCACTATCTTTTCTTCTCTTCTCACTACTCCTGCAGGTCCAACAGCCTGCAAAGGGAAAAACTCTCACACAACTTCAGGACATTGTGCAGTTTTAAAACCATGACCACCACAGAACAACACACAGATTCTTCTCTTTGGGTCTACACTTGTTACCATTTTTTTTATTTTTTAAACTTGAAATCCAGTGACTTGCACTCCCGTTTTTTTTTTACATGCAGATAATGGTCACTATGTCAGCTTGGAAGAACGTGCATCTGCCTTCCTATTCAGTCTGTGGAGAGGGAAACCCAGCTGGCTTAAAGCTCTGTGCAGGACAAAAATCTTCTTCCACTCATCTGCTTTGCACTCTACTCTCTCCAGTAACTTCATTGATCCTAATTTTTCCAATACCAGCCAACCAGCAGCCCCTCAAAAACAATTTGTTTGATTTTATAAGAATGCACTGGGACTCATTTTCTATTGACAAATGATGCACAGATGTAGACAGATGTTTCTCCTTAACTGAGAAAGTGACAGCAACATTGCTAAACTGATACTAATGGCTAATGGGAAACAGGCTCTAACGCCTAAAAAAGAAAGTGTATTACAGGCATTTTGTACTGAGCTTTTTATTTGTTGAGGTGTTGATATTTTAGTGTTCTTGTGCTAACATTTAGGCACCTGATGGGTGTTATGTAGCTCTTTCAGCCACGTTCACAACAAGCCTGACTGCGCCAACAAAAAAGCAAATTATCAGTAGCATCTCTACATCACACTAATTCACAGAGCTAAGAGCCTGATGACTACATGGGGAAAAACGAAGGAGGGTCACATGCAGCTGTGGGTACATTGATACTGAGAAATATGATGGAGTTTTGCTGAGAACACATTGGAAAGAAAAGGCTTTTAAAACACAAACATTCAAAGCATTTCAGCACAGATATTTCTTTTTTTAAAAGTAGTCTTTTAAGTTATTGTTTTAATCAGTATCATAAGTGTGGAGGAGTTTTCCAAATATTAAGACAGATAACACAAAAAAAATCGTCAAGCAAAAAGCAGTTCTTCGTTGCAGTAGCAATTTCAGATTTTAAAAAGTATTTTATTTTATAGAAATGCAAACAGTCTTTTTACATATCTTGGAAAGTAAAGACAGACTAAATTTGGATTTACCTGAAGTATCTTATTTGAACAAAAAAAAAAAAAAAAAAGCTAATAATTAATTTAAAAATTGCAGGTCTACTAATCAAAAGTGTTTAAAGGAATTAAAATAATTTAAACATGTTTTAGGAATTCTAAACCAGTGTTTTAAATTGTTTTATTTTCAGCTGAAAAAAGCTGCTTCAGTCTGGAAAGATTTTTCTGAATACCTCTTATTTTTTAAACTAACATGCATATTTATGTAGAAAAGCCCCTCTCACACACACCCCCTGTAGGTTGTATGTAGCTTATCTTGTGTTGTCCATGAAAAATAATTTTTTCTCAACAGAAAACTGAGAAATTGCAACAACAGTAAAGTTATCTAAGACTACAGCTGCTCAAAGAGTAGCCTGAATATTTCATTAGAAAACAAAGTGTTCTGACATTTTAAACTTCTGTTCAAGTCAAGACACCTCAGTGACTGGGAGCTGAACTGCTACAGGAGCAGGTCTCTGAGGAACTTGAGAATACAGAGTGTGTAAATGCTTTGCAGAGAAGAACAGAGAGTACAGAAACGAAGAGGTTATTAGTTGTGCCAAGAGAAGCTAAATGGGTGAGAGAGCCAAGCTCTAAAATCATCACTGGAAGCATTACCTGTGCGTGTTGAGTGAAGTGTTTGATAAACAGGCAGGGCCAAACACAGAACTTGCTTCAAAGAACCTGTAGCCCTGTCCAGAGCAGGTGAACCATCTCCCAGGCATTTAGTGAAGGCCAAAGAAAAACTGATCTTTGGGATCACAGAATTATGGGGGACTTGGATACACTGAGAGGGAAGATGTAGTAAGATGGCCTAGACATGAGCCATAAGGGAAAAGGGGTACAAGAAGTTCCCAGAATAGGGCCAACATGATGGGAACCACTGTCAGTGGTGATGGAGAAGGGAGAAGGAAAATCCATGGATAACATATCAGCTCCCACTGCACACATTGCTTCTAAGATGACAGAAAGGCTCTCAGTAAGAAACAACACACAAGCAGACTACCACCTACGACTGGAGTCATCACTGCAAAAACCAGAGCCAAAGGCAAGGAACAGGCAGAGCCACCACATCCTGCTGCTTGACTGGACTTGATTTGCAGGATAGCACTGGACCTCTTGCAGCCCTGCTCTTACCAAGAGCCAAAAGGTCAGGCTTTATGTCACAGACCTCAGGGACTGGTTTTGAGTAATGAATTATCTGAATGGGTAATTGTGCTTCTGTACTGTATTTTTTGTGACTTATGTTGTTTGTATAGTGCCAAAACCCTTAAATAAAATACGTTCATTTGCTCTTTAGATACATTTACATGTACACACACACAAACTGACATGATGGAGCAGTCAAGACTGTTTTTGTCCTAATAATAGTAATAACAAAACCATGCTAAGTGAAAGCAGTTAGATAATGTTTTAGTCAGATGGATGCACACATTTTCTCTCTAGTAATGGTTCTCCGCTTACCTAGACTTTAAAAACACTGGATTATATTCTGCTGATCCAGCTCCATTTCAGTGTAATGCTTTATGCAGTCAACACATGTGATGCATCTGTGATCACCTGGTGATGAGAAGTTGTACCTATCATGGTATGAGATTTAAAAAAAAGTCGTGGAAAAAACCTGAGGTCTACACATCAAAGCAAAGAAACAGCTTTCTCTAGCTGCCAGTCAGCACTAGCTTCAGCAATTCTGCAGGAAACAAATGTTACTACAGGGCAGTCCTAATATGAATCAAAATCTACAGTAGGTGACATGAATTGATTACAGATTGTAACTATTGATGTAATTGAAAAAATGGTACAAAAAGTTAGTGATCACATAACTCTGATGGAAGTTTTCCAGAAAAAAAAAAAAAAAAGGAAAAAATCCCTTAAAGAAGACGAAAAAAAAGAGGATCCTGTTTTTCCCCTTGAAATTAAGCAAATGTTAGACAGACTGACAGCTGGGAAAGAATTCCAAACCAAAGCTCTGTAAAATGATGGAATGTCTGCTTAAAAGCTATTTGAATCAGTTCAGCCATCCATTGCCCCGAGCAGGATCAAGGAAAATGTGTCAACTATTCATAACAGCATCTCTATGATTTAAGACAGAAGAAGGGGATCTAACCTGGATTTATTAGTTTGCCTCTGGCACTAACAATATGGCATTTAGTAACATTAAGATGGCCACACAGTTACAGCAAACATTTAAGAAAATAGAGCAAAGATATAAGAAAATAGATCAAATCATTAAGATGGCCACACAAAGTTACAGCAAAGATTTAAGAAAATAGATCAAAAATTAGTATCTTCTGAATGAAGATTTATCACTGAGGCCTCAAGTTGCCTCAAGCTCACCCACCACCTTTTCTCTTTGCAGCTTTATACTCTCTGAAGGATAGCTCTCCTTTGCTTTCTAAATACTTATTTATTTGGAAATCAGCACAAGATTAAGTGACATATTTTTCTAAAGCAAAGGCATAAAAATTTCATGGGAAAATAATATTGTGACTTAACAATAAAGCATTTCTTTTGAAAAAATCAGATCTCACAGTAAAGTCATCTATTTAGATGCACAAGCTGAAAGTGTACCTGAATTTATTCTTTTCAGTGTGCATTGATGCAATATAGTTCAAAAGTGTGGATTAAAAACCAGTGTTTTCTTCATTCAGTTGTAAACCTTAGATAAATTAAATTCCTGAAAATTTCCATACAACTATAAGGAAATTGAGTTTGGCTATAAGAGAAAACTTATAATACTTCTATGTCTCCATAAGAAAATACTAAAAGCATTTCTACAGTGTACAAAATAGTAGCTTGCAATTAAAAAAAAACCAATTTAGATAACAAATTATTGTCTTCCTATCTAGCCTCAAGATCACAACAATTTTTCTTTTTCCTTCTCATGACATGTCTGTGTAAATCACACTCTTTTTTGGAGCAAAAAAAAATGTATTTTGTTAAGTTCAACAGCAAGGTTTTGCAGGAGGAGTTACTGTTTGCCTTAGGATGTTTCAGTTGTACTGCAACACAAGTAACTTAATCTCTCATGTTTGTTCACCTGAAAGAGGAGTCTTCTTCTAAAATCCTCTTTGTGCAGTATCTATGGACTGTGATGTGGGAAACACGAGTAATTGTGCCAGAATGCCTGTTCATATAAGAACTGCTGGAATTGTGCTGGACAGTGGTGGTGCTGGTGGGAATCATGCTCCCATGCCTGGCACACTGAACTGCACTTGCTCCACCTGTCCAGCAGCACCTCCACACCATCTTTGCTGTACAGGAGCAGGATTTGCTCTTTCTGGATAAATGTGCTGCTTCCGGACATCATTAAAATTAGGACGTGTCAAATCTTGCTTTTCTTGAGGTAGGCACAACGAAAACAAAACAGACACAGGATGTTCTGTTTGAAACAGGCAGACGGGAAGATCACCTCTTTTCAATCTCAAAATCTTGAGGGTACCACCTTGCTAATTGTATTCTCCTTAAATTTGCATATTCCACCAACAAAAACAAACTGCTGCACTTCAGGCAATTTTCTAATGCTCGTAACTTGCCAAATTTAGAATAATTACTATGAAGAGCTCTGCAGTTCCCTCCCCAACACCAAATTGTGGCAACAACTGCAAAGATGATAGGCCAATTTTTTTTTTTTTTAAATTTTTAATTGGACCTTTCTTTTTAAAATAAATCTGCTAAAAAAGACGCTAACCAGCTTTACTGTGGGAGACATCAGTGCCACATTCATA